GAGAGGGAGATGACCACGAAGGCCAAAAGAATGAAGTTGAGATAGGATATGATAACGCCAAGTGGTGTCGTAAGCCTTTTCTAGGTCAAAAAGGACGGCAACAACGGAGGTCTTCGCAGCAAAAGCAGTACGAAGATAGACCTCCAAGTTCACCAGGACATCTGTCGTGCTGCGGCACTTGCGGAAACCAAATTGAGAAGGGGAGAGGTGGTGATGGTGTTCCAGGAACCACATCAGACGAACGTTAACCATACGTTCAAAGAGTTTGCAGACACAACTTGTGAGAGCAATAGGGCGAAAGTCCTTAGGGGAAGTACCCAGAGACCCCGGTTTGCGAACAGGGAGGACAACGGCATCGAGCCAGTCCTCAGGGACTGACGACGACTCCCAGATCCGATTATACAGACTCAGTAAATACTGAGACGTGCTCGGAGGGAGATGGCGAAGCATCTCATAATGAATACCATCGGAGCCCGCCGCCGTAGAACCGCAGAGGGCCAGGGCAGAACGAAGTTCAGAGAGAGAGAAGGGATCATTATAGGGAAGCTGAAGATGAGTGCAGAAATCTAAAGGACGAGACTCAAGGACAGGTTTACGAAGAAGGAAAGATTGGGGAAGATGAAGACCAGAGCTAACAGAAGAAAAGTGGGAACCGAGTTCGGAAGCGACCTGCAACGGGTCCGCCACAAGAGTATCATGGAGGTGAAGGACCGGTGAAACATCGGGAACGAACTTACCCGCTATCTTGCGGATACGCTTCCAGATCTGGGCCAGAGGGGTTTCGGACGTAATTGTCGAGACATAAGATGCCCAACATTCACGTTTAGCCGTACGGATGGCCCTACGGGCCACCGCACTCGCTTTCCGAAAGAAAAGAAAAGAATCGGTCGTCTGCCTACGGCGGTGCTTCTTCCAGGCTGCACGCTTACAGCGGACAGCCCGAGCACAGTCCGCATTCCACCAGGGAACGCACTTCCGTGGACCCCGAGAGGAAGAGCGAGGAATAGAGCGGAGGGCAGCGTCGAAGACAGTGTCATGAAAAAGGAGGAGAGCGCGAGAGAGGGGCAGAAGGGAGAGGTTAGAGAGAGTAGCACTGAGGGAAAATAGGGTCCAGTCCGCCTTAGCAAACTGCCACCTAGGGAAAGAGAGGGAAGGGCGAAAAGAGAAAAAGGAAACAAGGATGGGGAAATGATCACTTCCATGGAGGTCATCAAGAACCTGCCATGTGAAATCTAAGTAAAGAGAAGAAGAGCAGAGAGAAAGATCAAGACAAGAAAGGGTGCGAGTTCGAGAGTCCAAATGAGTGGGCTCACCAGAATTCAGAAGAGACAGGGAAGAAGAGAGGAGAAACGGCTCAAGGAGGCGACCCCGGGTATTCGTCAGAACGTCACCCCAAAGAGAATGACGACAATTGAAGTCACCCAGCAGGAGCACAGGCTCCGGCAAGGAGTCTAGGAGGTGTTTCAAATCAGTTAGAGAGAGCGGGACACTCGGGGGGAGATAAATGGAACAAACTGTGTACCATTTCCCCACAAAGATACGAGCAGCAGAACAATGGAGAGGCGAAGGAAAAAGTAAAGGAACAAAGGGAACATCAGCCCGAATCAAGAGAGCAGAAGAATTAGAAGCCCCAGCAATGGCTGGGGGGGGGGAGAGAAAGGAATAGCCACGAAAACGACCAGGACGAGCACCAAGCATCGGCTCCTGGAGACAGACACAAAGGGGCGAAAACCGCGAAACCAGAAGTTGGAGTTCGAGGAAATTGGCGTAATAACCTCAAACGTTCCATTGAAGAATGGACAACGACGAGAAGAGAAAGGACAAAAACAGAGAACAAGGAAGAAACAAAGGCGAAAGACCAACAGAGCACGTTAAAGAATATCAGGGTCGGGATCAGGGTCAGCAAAGTCAGGGTTAGGGGGCATGGGTAAACTGAGCAAAGACGGAGGGAAGGAAACGGGAGAACAGATCAGAGGTGGGCGGGCAGGGTCCGGAGGAGGAGGAGGAGGAGACAACGGAGAGCAGCAGTCAAGGACAGCAGCAGGAAGAGGGGGAGTAGAAAGAGAGGAGCGCACCCCAGCAAGAGCAGCAACCGAAAGGGAAGCAGGGGCCAAAGAAACCTCCATAGCTGGAACAGGGGGCGCAAGCACTGAAACGGGAGGGGAAGGAGCAACAGAGCCAGAAGGAGGAGCTGAGGAAGAAAGCGAAGCCTTCTTACCCGCCGGGGAAGAGGAAGGAGAGGAGCCAGGCTTACGCTTCTGACTTAAAGAGACCGGTGTCCCAGCAACTACGTACCGGGCAACGGATTAGTGTCTCAACAGGAGAAGCCGAACGAGAGCACACACGACGGCCGTTAGGAGAGCGATGGACATCCGCCCGCACCGACAGGCGGCGGGGAGAGCCGATAGATGGAGGAAGAGGATGGGAAGGAGGATCGGAGGGGGACGAGGAAGAAGACACAGAAGACACGACAGACCGGGTAGAAGGAAGGGGAACCCCAGACAGAGGACCAGGAGGAGGATCCTTCGGGAGAGAACCCAAAGGGACAGAGGAGGGGGCAGTGGGCGCATCAGGGTCCAAGGCCTGGAAACGGTTGTGAGTCTGAGGAAGGCGGGAAGGACGAGGAGAGGAAGAGTGCAACACGCGAGCATAAGAGATATTAGCATAAGGCGGGAGCCGGCGAACCTGGCGCCTCGCCTCAGGAAAAGAAACGCTCCCGGTGCTTCAAGTTGAGGACGGCTGCCTCAAGCTTGTAATGGACACACGCACGGGAGAAGGTAGGATGGGCCTCACCGCAGTTGAGGCAACGAGCCTGGGGAGAAGCGCACTCCGACTTAGAGTGACCTTCGCCACCACACAAAGGACAGAGAGAGACAGTCCCGGAGCAGCGGAGGGCACCATGCCCAAACCTCCAGCACTTGTTGCAGAGCCGAGGAGAAGGAATGTACTCTTGGACAGAGCACCTGGCACCAGCGAGAATGACAGAGGGTGGAAGGGTCCTACCATCAAAGGTAATCTTCACAACCCGGAGGGGTTGACGGCGACTACCACGAGGGGGACGAGTAAACGTGTCCACCTGGAGAATAGAATGGCCCTGGGCAGCGAGGATATGTCGAATATCTTCGTGGCAGTCGCGTAGGTCCCGAACACCGGTCGCAACATGGGGCGGGAGCAAAATAGTGCCAACACTGGCATTCAACTGAACGTTCTTCGAGACCCGAACGGGGGTCTCGCTAAGGCAGGATAAGGCAGCCAAGCGGGAAGCAGCATCCTGAGAAGGAGCAGCAACGACACGTGTACCGAGACGAGTGGGGTTGAAAGTAATGGAGGCATCCACGGAATCAATGAGATGTCGATGGAGGGAGAAATCGTCAGGAGGCGCAGAATCAAGAGGGAGGAGATCAAAATATTTGGCCCACGAAGCGGGACCAAACAAGGCTTGATAGGTAGCAGAACTGGAAGGAATCGAGCGAGGGCGGCCGTGACGAGGACGGCGGTGAGAACCCCCAGAGAGAGAGAGGGGTTAAAAGGCGCAGTAGTTACAACTAGAGAAGGAGCCGCGCCAGGGGACGAGGTAGTCACCACTGGGGGCTTGGGGCTCGACCCAACCACAGAGGGAGGGGAGCCAGGGGAAGGAGCCAGAGAGGCCAAAGGAGGAGCAAGGTCGGGGCCCAATGCAGCGGAGGCTACAGAGCCCTGTCTTCCAATACGGACCGACTCGGGGGCTTGGTCGCCCACCCCACGAGCCTGAGAAGGTAAGCCAGAAGCAGCCGAAACAGGGGTTATCTTGACGAAAAGAAGAATTCACTCACGAATGTGCCCCCACACCCACCATGGAGCCACAATTAGTGGCAGGACACCCAACAAGAAGCTATCGCCGATCTTGTCGGGGCCTCCTAGGGGTGCGTCGCGAGTATACGCCCCACAAACGCCACCTCAAGAAACCGACAGTCCGTCGAGATCGGGTTCAGTGACGAAGTGGGGATTGACAATAAAAGGTTCCCCTCGCTCTCGACGGCGGGTACTGCAGTTCTACGGGTGCACGAGTATGCCTCCTCAAGCACCCGGGCATCAAAATAGAAGAAGGCCATGGAAGAACCAGAACGAGCAAAAGGTCGGCAGGAAACGGCAAGCAGATAGGAGAAGAGGGGGAGAAAAACGAAACAGAAGGAAAAGGAAAAGGAAAAGGTGCCCAGCAGAATTGGAGAGGACGGCAGCAGGAGCACAAGGCTAGAAAAGGACAGAGGACTGCCCAACGGAGCATCACTCCGGCAGCCGTCCACCAAGCCCCCTCACGACGCCAACGGGCCGGATGGGGAGGGGGGCTCTCAAGAATAGTGTTCTCCCCGTGCCCTTCCTCCTACCACTAACCGGCGGTGGGAAACTGATCTGGGTAGGTTACATATTGACTATACAATCACTCAATGGAGCACTGCCCTGCTCCTTATTGTGCGAATTGCATTGTCCCTCTTACACATCCTTGTTGAATGTCCCGACTTCCAGGACAAGTGTGTCTTTCCGACTGTTCCTTGCAGTCAATTCTCCCTTTGTAGAATTCTTTGCAAATCTGATACTTTTGGTAACATACAGGGCAAACGGTCTCTAATTGGCAACCTTTGATATTTAGCACCCCCATGATTATTCTGCATATTTGATTGCCAGCCCCCACCCCCCGGTCCTTCAGTTTGGCGCCTTCTAATAATTACTTAAGCTACTCTATCCTCCAATGATTTTTTCTATCAAACAAACTTGAACTGTCACCAGCCCTAGGGAGTCTAAATAGCGAAGGGGGCTTATGTACAAGGCGACAAAATGAAAGGGCAAAATAAGTGGCAAACATAGACTTATCTACCGTTGGAAGTCCACTTTAAAGTTTGGGACTCTAACCATCCACCAGCAAATTTAATGTCAGCACTAAGTATTACCGTCTGAACCTAAATTCAATCTGAAGTACATTAGCAGATTCAATCTTACAATACTGAAGGCAGTTTGAAACTTCGTTTTATTTATATTTTTATTATAAGAAGGATTTATACATTAAAAAAATCTAGGACACCATAATGCAGCTAAAAGTTCCATGTTGAGTGTTACACAAGAACGTGTATGGTTATGGGTTTACTTTAAAAGCCATAGAACTAATAAAGTTTATAAGTATAGTTTAATAAACTTTCTGCATTAAAGAAAAATTTGTAGCACTAATAAGTATACTAGGAAGCAAACAGACTTAGTTGTACAAGATTAGTCTCATTACACCAAGTAATGAAGCTTTCACTCTGACGTCAGAGTTTTGTCTTACATTTTTTCAAAGTCATATACAGTAACTTTTGTATCCATACAGTAGCATGGCTGTCAATACAAGTTTAAAACCGTCTGATCATTTCAAATGCGTTAATGATGCGTTTCTCCGTCACTAAACACTCCAGCATCTGTGAACGCCTTACCTGTAATTAGTCATTAAAACAAATGTCAAATAAGTTACTTTAAATATTTAAAGTTAAAACTAACCAACTAGGGAAGTTTGTACACCTCGGCAACTATTGCTCAGGGTCAAAATAGTTACGTTTGTAGTAGAACAAAGACTAGTACTAATAAATTTATTAAGTTACGGAATAAAGTTATAGTATTGCTAATTATTCCTGTAGAGAGAAAAGTCAAATGCAAGAAACATTTGGTAATTCTTATATCAAGACAAAACCGTTTGCTCAAGATACAGTAACCCAACAACCAACTCACCTCCAAGTAGTGTGCACGGACGACCAGGAGAAGAAAAGTCTCTAAAAATATGTAGAGGGTAAAAATTACCCCAAAGACAAACATTTGTGTCCAGTATTGTTTAATGCCGGCCATGGCAAGCAGACCCAAGCCCAAGACCATGTGCATAATGATCTGGAGAAGCAGCATTACCATGAAAGGAATGAATAGACACGTCTTGTGCTGGAAAAAAGAAATCGCCCATTAATCACGTGGAAGAGAACTTACGATGTTGATCTGCATAGTTTACTGTAAACTTAAGACCTATTACCACCTTAGTTCTTATTGCCATGGCCCAGGATTTAAATGTAATTACGTAGACATGTAGTGATATATACGCAAGTGGTAACTTATCGTAGACAAGAGGAGAGTTCACCGTCTGCCCTTTTGTACCTGGTTAAGGTTTAAGTCACCTCTTTGGTAAAAATGTTTAGGACCCCTGTCCCGTACATCCGAGTTTAACAGTTCCTAGCTTCGAATATTAGAATACCTTTAAGAACATTCCTATTGTTTTAAAATTTATTTGTCGCCTATTTCGCCCCCCCCCCACCCTACTGACCTCGCTCCTTAGTCGTAGCAAGTTTAATTCATAATTTCAAAGGGATGGTTCAAATCTACTGGATACATCCCTCCCCCCCCCCTCCCATTCTGTAGCAGCCAGTCCTCCTAACGTGCCCTCCTCCCTAACGTCGAGAACCTTTCATACTAAAGTTTCCCTTCTAACTTACCACAGGACCTAGAACAAAACAGGGCAGCCCCACTTTTAGCAAGACGTTCAAGATCACAGGAAGCAATCCATCAGGACGATAGGAACTTTTGAACACTGAATAGTTCTTTCCTCGAGATTTGGACTTTCATAATATTACAACTAGCGACCATCTTTATATACCACTGCATGTGGCTGGTGGGCTTTAAAAAAAAAAAAACAGCCTACAGACATATTGGTAGATTTACTAGAAACGTTTTCCCCACGACATGATCCCATCGAGTAATTATCAAAGGAAGGCACCAAACCAGGAAGGTTATGGAACACCACCAAATGTGCAGAATAATCAGAGGCACTAAATATCACCAAGGGTGAAAATACGAGAACAGAAACGCATAAGGCAAACAATATCAAAAGTATGATTCGCCAAGTATTCTATCGAGGTACAATTGACCATGAGGGACGTTCGGAAAGCAAGATACGCTCGTCCTGGAAGTCAGGACATTCAACAAGAATGTGCACGACTAAGGAACAATGCAATTAAGTTAAACGTGTTTGACCAATATGTAACCTAGCCAGAGCCGTTTCCCCACTGCTGGTTACGGTGGTAGGAGGTAGGCCAGGAGGATACTACTCTAAGAGTTCGCAGTTTGTTACCAATAACAGAAGACCAACAACCCTGCCAATGGGCAAGGATTGAGGAATGAATAACTAGTAAAAGTCAGGATACCTTTACAGGAAATGGGACAAGTGCGGATACCTTCCGTAGTGGCAGTATTTGTACACTCATTTAAAAAAAAAAAAAAAAAGGCTGGGAACTCTGTAAAACTACAGACTTAAATTTACTGGAGATAAGAAACGGCCAATGATAAATATCAATGACCACTGGGGGGACTGGATTAAAGGACCCCAAAGCCAAGAGAGCACTACCACCACAAAGGAGGGTTGACAATGAGAAAGCAGGAGACGAAGAGCAGAGAATATAGCATGAAGTTCTGCTGTGAAGATGCTAGCCTCCGGAGGGAGGCGACACAAGTATGGTCATGAAAAACAGTAGCCCACACCGTCAGCAGACTTAGACCAATCTGTGAACATGGAAACGAAGTGTAAAGAAGAAGTGCAAGGAAAAGGAATTTCAGGACTGTAGAAGGGGGTAAAAACTTCAGTGATGCAGGTCAGGGAAGTACAAAACTTGGGAAGGGGTACCCTCCACAGAGGCAAGGACAGAACAATACGAGGAGAAACATTGGTAAGACGAGACGAAAGAATCTTTTAAGCGAGGCAAACAGACAGAGGAAGGTTGCGGAGAGGAACCACAGGAGGGGTAAAAATCAAAGCACGACAGAGGCGAGAGCAAGGATGTTACAAGGACCGCACAAGATAGCGAAGAAAGTAGCAATCACAGCGGCCCTAGAAAGAAAGAGGGAGGGCCCCCAGTGTCAATGTACAAGCTGAAGGTAGGAGTTTAATGAAAGGCACCAGAGCCGAGACAACCCAGTATGGTGCAAAGGATCAAGACAGCGAAGAGTTGAAGCAGAAGAGCATGCAGAACAACCATAATCGAGTTGAGCTCAAAAAAAAAAAAAACAAAGTGCAAATAGAGGAGCGCGTGACTATCCATAACCCAAGAAGTATGGGACAAAACCTTAAGGAGGTTAAGGGCCTTAGAGTATTCAACTGAGGTAAGAGATATGGGGCACCATGACAAATGAGTGTCAAAGACTAACCTCAAAAGCTTTGCAGATTATTTCTAAACGAGGGAATGATGAAAAGCAACAAGGGGAGGACGAAGAACGACATACTTCCGAGTAAAAGTCATAGCACAAGTCTGGTGTAGAGACCCAAGCCACGATTGGTGGCCCAAGACAACACAGCATCAGTCTCAAGTTGAAGCCGCCGTTGAAGGAGAGTAGAATCGCTACCTCAGCAGCGAGTAAGATCGTGAACAAAGTAGAGAAGATGCTAGAAGGTATAAAAAAAATATAGTTCTCAGAACACTACCTTGGGGGTACACCTTCGTATTGCCGGTAAGAGGCAGAGAGTGGCACCAAGCCTGACTAAAGGAACGACGAGAGAGGAAGCTTTGGAGGAAAAGGGAGATTACCACGAAGGCCAAAAGAACGAAGTTGGGACAGAATATGGCATCTCCAAATCGTGTCAAGCCTTTTCCAGGTCAAAAAGGACAGCAACAACGGAGGTCTTCACAGCAAAGGTAGTACGAATATAGACTAAGTTCACCAGGACATCAGTCGTGCTGCGGCACTTACGAAATATCAAATTGAGAAGGAGAAAGGTGGTGAGGGTGTTCCAAAGAGCTACAGACAAATTTACCACTCAGACTTTTGCAGACAACTTGTGAGGACAATAGGGCAGAAGGCCATAGAGAAAGTACCGAGAGACCCTGGTTTCCAAATAGGGAGTACAACGGCATCGAGCCAGTCCTCAGAGACTGACGACAACTCTCAGACCTGGTTATACAGACTCGGTAAAGACATGTTCACAGAGGGAGAAGGCAAATCATCTCCATGAATGTTATCCGAGCCTGTTGCTGTAGATCTGCAGAGTGCCAGGGCAGACTGAATTTCAGAAAGAAAGGATCGTTATAGGGAACGCAGAGATGAGTGGAAATCTAAGGGACGAGATTCAAGAACAGGATTACGAAGGAAAGAAGGATTGAGGAAGATGAGAACCAGAGCCAACAGTAGAAAAGTGGGAACCCAGTTTGGTTGCAACCTGCACTGGGTCTGGCACAAGATTACCACGGAGGTGGAGAACCGGCGAGACATCGGGGTTGAACTAGCCCGCAATCTTGCGGATCATCTTCCAGATCTGCGGCAGACGAGTATCGGACGTAATGGTGGAAACAAGATTTCCAACTCCCACGTTTAGCTGTACAAATGGCCCATAGCGCACTAGCCTTCCAAAACAAAATCAGCCGTCTGCCAGCATAGGAGTTTCTTCCAGGCTGCACACTTACAGGCAGAGCACAGTCCACATTCCACCATGGAATCCACTTCCGCGTGCCTTGGGAGGTAGGAGAAGGATTAGAGAGGAGGGCAGCATCGAAGATGGCGTCATGAAAAAGGAATAAGGAAGGCACAGGGGAGGAAGTTTGGGCACGAGGAAGAGGCAGTTTGGAGAGGTAAGAGGGTAGCATGGAGGGTGAATAGGTTCCAGTCAGCCTTGGCAAACTGCAACCACGGGAAGGAGAGGGTGGAAAGAAAAAGGAAACTAGGATGGGGACACGATCACTTATGGAGGTCATCAAGAACCCACTACGTGAAATCTAAGTAAAGGGGCAACGAGTAGTAGGAAAGATCAAGATAGGAAAGGGTGCAAGTTCGAAAGTTAAATCAGTGGGCTCACCAGAATTCATAAGAGAAGCAGTGAGGATGAACAGATCGAGACAGCAGCTTTGGGCGTTTGTCAGAACAATCACCCCAGAGCGCATGTCGACAGTTTAAATCACCCAGAAGGAGCACCTGCTCTGGCAAGGGGTTCATGAGGTGCTCAAGATCAGGAAGGGAAAGCAGGACATTTGGGGGGAGGGGGTAAAATGGAACAGACTATACCATTTACTCAAACATGGGCAGCAGAACAATGGATACGTGACTGAATAAGTAGGGGGACGAAGGGAATATCAGAGCAAATCTAGAGCAGTAGAGTTATGGGCCCCAGCAAGAGCGGGGGGGGGGGGGGGAAATAACCACGAAAGTGACCAGGAAGAGCACCAAGCATAGGCCTCTGGAGACACAAAATGGTGAAAACTAATCAGAAGTTCATGGAAGTTGGCATAAAAGCCACGAATATTCCACTGAAGAATAGACATTATCAGAGACACGACAGTAACAGAACAAAGAAACAAAAGTAAAGAAGAACAGTATATTAAAGAATCTCAGGATCGGCAAAAATCAGGGTTAGGGGACATGGCACAAATTACAATTGCACAATGTATCAAATTAATCCACAAGGTCCGTGACGAGGATTCGAATCTGCATCAGAGAGCATCCCAGATGCTGCCTTAAGCGACTGAGTTACGACATGGTCAAAAGGAGTTGAAACCGAAGTTCTACTGAACTTACTGGAGCCTACAGCCTCTCAGAGGCACAAACCAGGGCTTTACACAACTCCCCCTCCTCCTGCACTCTAGCTATGTCAATAGGCCACTCTCCCTTTTCGCCCTTACTTCATTACACAGCAAGGAAGAGAACTATCAGGGGAAAGCACCAAGCCATTATGACTATATAGCACTGGGAAGAGGTCGGGATACTGATTTGGGATGGGACGAGGGGGAAGGAAAGGTGCCCAACCACTTGGACGGTCGGAGAATAAGGAGGAGTTGTGTAAAACTGGTTTGTGCCTCAGAGGCTGCAGGATCGAGTGCGGCCGTGGCACAGACGGTGTTGAGAACCCCCAGAGAGAGAGAGAGAGAGAGAGAGGGGGGGGGGGGGGTTAAAAGGTGCAGTAGTCACAGAGACAGTCACACCAGAGGAAGTGGTCACCACAAGGCTACAAAAGGATAGGACTGTCTTAAGGAGCATGACACACTGGCAGCTGCCCACCAAGCCCCCCCCCCCCTTCCTCAGGGCAACAACGAGCAGAACAAGGAGGGAGACTATCCCACCGAGATCAATGTTACTTCAATGATTTCAGGAATTATTCTTCACTATCTGGACTGATTAAATGAGTGCCTTCAATTATTTTTTTCTTCTTTAAGCAGCTTTGTTAGTCTAATTTTTGCGACCTTAACGTAGATAACTAGCAAAGTAATGGGTTAAGACTAATCTGCCGGCAACAAATTTGCCTTTCGATTCTATTAGAGTGCACAAGCATTAGTTTAGAAAATACAAGAACGGATAAATTAATCTACCGTACATTTTGAACTTTCATAAATTGAATTTGAAGACAGTTTGGTTTATTCTTTTAAACGAAGGGCGAGGAGAAGGGCTCATTTCCCATTTATCAAGAGACATTGAATTACAGTCTTGACAAGTTACCTTTAAGATGCCGTAAATGAGCATACTGCAGACTAAGACTTCACAGACTCCGATCACCAAGCCAGATATCACCGATCCCTCAGCTGCAAGAAAAAAAATCCTTTAAAAAAAAAAAAAAAAAAAAAAAAAAAAAAAAAAACTTAAGGTATGGCTACCAACAGGAAAATTTTGGAAGTAAATGTTTAAAAAATATTCGACTAATAGTTTTACCATTAGTTGAAGACTAGGACACTTATACACACCAAGCTTTATGAAGAGATCACACTTTCCAGAACCATCCAGATCATCACAGTAGCTATGCACAATATTAAGTATACTTCCATCGGCCAACGTAGTAGCGTCGATCCCAATATAGACGAGCGATCCGATCTGTACCAGCATCAGAGGTAAAGTCTTATGAAAATAGAAATTTAGCCATTTTTTATATAAACATTCACAAGAGTTATAGGCAAAAAGTTAACTTAACACTCTACAGACCGAGGTATGAAGTCTAATCTTTGTCATTAGAGATTAGTCATTTTGTACAGCATTAGTTACATTATATAGGTAGACTTAAAGATTTAACAACGGGGAGAGGGAACGTTAACTGAAGGAAAATGTTTAGCCAGTTTATTAGACCAAATTTAGCAGAATCTTAATGGTTTATATATTTATCAGAGGTTTAGTGGTGTGTAGTAGTCAGACAATACACGCTAGAGTTACTACAACGGCTAGTCTCATAACTAGTACAAAATCTAACCAAAGTTATATTAAAAAATTAGCAGATGTAATTTATGGAATTTTATCTAAAAATTTAATTTAAAATTGTATACAATACTAGTGTAAGCGGATTAGCATCTTGCTCCAGGATTATTACCGTCCAGGTCTGAAAAACGACTGGAAAGTAGGAATTTAACAAGATCTTTGCCTTAAAAATACACGTTAATTTTGCAAAGTTTTAGCAATTAGTTTTATTCACTTAAGTAAACACAACCTAGCGACTACCAATACTGCCAGTCAACACAGCTCTTAAGATCTATGAATAATACGTATTTAAAATAAATATTTACTAGGATGTTCCTTTGAACTTTCAGGGGAGCTAGATCCACCCCTTTTGTATACATGTAATTAAGCATTCTTTAGCCAAGTGCTAACTAGACGGTATTTTACCCGTGCCAACATTTGTTGGTCCTACCAACACTAAGATTGGCGAGAGAAACTAAAAAAAAGCTTTAGAACCTTCACTCAGGAAGCTTGCCTTTTGTACTATATAACAAGTATAAATTTTTTTACATTTCAAACAAAAAATAATTGAACGAGCTTTAAAAGAAAAAACTTCAAACTAGATAAAAGTTTTGGGAACCAATGCTGTAATGTTTGAGATTTAACGAAGCTGTTTGGGGGGGGGGGGAACAACCACCAACCTTCATAACCTTAGATGCTTCCTGTAACAAGTACAAATTAAGATATAAAGTCATGGGCAACGAGTCAAGATTAATGATGCTTACCAAAAGAAAGACACCAAGGATGAGGCTGCCAGTCTTTACCTTGAAGCAACAGCAGTGTTTTGGCTCCCACAACATTGTAAATCTGAAAAAATATTAAAATTCTAAGACTGGCACTTAAACAGGAAAAGTAAGCCACCAAGAACACTAAACTTATCTATTTTCTCTTGCGCGACTGAAGGCATGCTTCCCCGAACTATCACCAATTACCGTTCGGTTACAGAAACCTTAAGTTCTAGAGTTAATTTTAGTAGAGTATAATCGTTCGTGCACGCCCGCGACAACCGAAGTGTAGCCTAGTATAAATTAAAATTAGTGGAAACACTACAATTACCAAGGAAGAGTAGACACTCGAGAATTCAGGTATTCCACTGGTACCGTCTGTGTAAGTACGTTATGAAGTACTTACACGGGCTTCAAGTCGTTACGCAACTACCTGCGAATTTAAGTTTCCATATTCGGCAGCTTTGTTTACATTTCAGAGCTCCGAAGCTCGAGGGGAGACCATGACCAACTGGTTTAAAATTTTCCCGGTGTTAATCCGTTTAATAGAAGTTAAATAAAGCCGCCAAAGATGATTTATAGGTTCACAAGGCAAGGTAATTATCAAAAGAAGGCACCAAACCGGGAAGGCTATGTAGCACCATCAAAGTGCGAAATAATCAGAGGGCGCTAAATATCACCAAGAATGCCAATACGAGAACAAAAACGCACAAGGCGAATGATATCAAAAGTATCTGATTCACCTAGAGTTCTATCGAGGGACAAGTGACCGCGAGGAACGGTCGGAAAGCAAGACACGCTCGTCCTGGAAGTCGGGACATTCAACAAGGATATGCACAACTGTAAGAGGCACAACGCAATTCGGACAATAAGGAGCAGGGCGGCGCTCCATAAAGTGACTTGGGTTAAGCGAGGATGTCCAACCCACAGCCGTGTCAAAGCAGTTTCCCACTGCCGGTTACGGTGGTAGGAGGAAGGCCACGGGGACTACGTTTGAGAGTACGCAGCTTGTTACCAACCACAGAGGACCAACAACCCTGCCAACGGGCAAGGATGGAGGAATGAATAACATGATAAAAGTTGGAATAAGGAATACCTTTACGGGAGATGGGACAAGAATGGATAGCTTTTTTAGCAGCAGCATCCACACGCTCATTTAAAGAAACACCAATATGGCTGGGAACCCAGCAAAATTACAGACATTTACTAGAAATAAGAATCTGCCAATGTTGAATCTATGACCACCGGAGGGACAGGATTAAAGGACCCCAGAGCCATGAGGGCACTACGAGAGTCAACTACAACCACAAAGGAGGAATGAGAATGAGAAAGCAAGAGACGAAGATCAGAGATTAGCATAAAGTTCTGCCGTAAAGACACTAGCCTCCGAAGGGAGGTGACAATTACAGTCAGGAAAAAAACAACAGTAGCTCACACCGTCCACGGACTTAGACCCATCGGTGAAGATGGTAATAGAGTGGGAGTGCGAAGAAAAGTGCTAAAGGAAGAAGCTTTTCAGAATTGTAGGAGGGGGTAAAGGCTTTAGTAATACAAGGCAAGGCCGTACAAAACTTGGGATGGGAGACTCTCCACGGAGGCAAGGAAGGAACAATATGAGAAACAAATATGAACAAAGAATCCTGTAAGCGAGATAACCGGACAAAGTAGGAGACGAAGAGGAACAGGAGCTACAGGAGGAGGAAAAGTCAAAGCACGACAGAGGCGAGAAGAAGGATGTTGTAAGGACCGCACAAGATAACGAAGACAGTAGCGATCACGGCGGTCCTGAAGAGAAAGTAATCAACATACAAACTGAGGGCGACACTAACGAAAGGCACCACAGCCGAGACAACCCAGTATGGTGCAAAGCATCAAGACGGCGAAGAGTAGGAGGAGAAGCAGAAGAGTATGCAGGGCAACCATAATCAAGTTTAGATAGGACGAACGAGAGAGAGACAGACAGACAGCAAATAGAGGAGTGTGCGCCTATCTGCTCCCCAAGAAGTATGGGACAAAACCTTATGTTATGGGCCTATGAGCATTCATCTCAGAGGTAGGAGATATTGGCCGACCAAGACAAACTAATTTCAGACTTGCCCCAAAAGCTTTGCAGAATCTCTGTACACAGTGGGAGGACCATAAAGCGACAAAGAGGGACAAAGAACATGCTTCCGAGTAAAAGTCATAGCACAAGTCTTAGATGCAGAGAAGCCATGATCGGTGGCCCAAGACGACATGGCATCAATCTCAAGTTGAAGCCGCTGTTGGAGAGGTGAATCACCCCAAAAGCAAAGGGTAAGATCATCAACAGCAGAGAAGACGCCAGAAGGAAGAGGAAAGGAGACCATTGAGGGAAACTAGAAGTAGAGTAGTGCTCAGAACACTACCCTGGGTACACCCTCATACTGCCGAAAAGGAGCAGAGAGCAGTACCAAGCTGCACACGAAAGAAACTACGAGAGAGGAAGCTCTGGAGGAAGAGAGGGAGGTTCCCCACGAAGGCCAAAAGAATGACGTTGGGACAATATAATACCGCCAGGTAGTGTCATAAGCCTTTTCCAGGTCAAAAAAAATGCAACAACGGAGGTCTTTGCAGCAAAAGCAGTACGAATATAGACCTCCAAGTTCACCAGGACATCCGTTGTGCTGCAGCACTTGCGAAAACTAAAGGGAGAGGTGGTGATAGTGTTCTAAGAACCACATCAAACGAACGTTAACCATACGTTCAAAGAGCTTGCAGGCAACTTGTGAGGGCAAGAGGGCGGAAGTCCTTGGGGGATGACCCGAGAGACCCTGGTTTCCGAACGGAGGACAACAGCATCAAGCTAGTCTTCAGGGACTGACGACGACTCAGACCAGATTGTACAGATTCAGTAAATACCGAGACTTGCACAGATGGAGATTAAGCATTTCATAATGAATGCCATCGGACCCCGCTGCCGTAGAACTGCAGACAAGCTCAGAAGGGATCATAGGGAATGTGAAGACGAGTACAGAAATTTAAAGGAAGAGATTCAAGAAAAGGCTTAAGAAGGAAGGAATGAATGGGGGGAGACGAGAACCAGAACCCACAGGAGAAATGGGAACCCAGTTTGGGCGCAACCTGCAACGGGTCCGCCACAAGAGCACTATGGAGGCTAAGGACTGGCGAAATATCTGTAACAAACTTACCCGCAATCTTACGGATAAGCTTCCAGACCAGTGGGAGAAGAGTTTCGGACGTAACGGTAGAGACAAGACGCCCAGCAAGTACGTTTAGCCACACGTATTGTCCTACGGGCCACCGCACTCTCCTAAAACAAAAGATAGGACTACCGTCTGCGATGTCTCCTCCAGGCTACACGTTTACAGTGGACAGCCCGTGCACAGTCCATGTTCCACCAGGGAACGCACTTCCGCGTTCCCGAGAGGAAGAGCGAGGAATAGAGTGGAGGGCAGCGTCAAAGACAGTCATGAAAAAGAACGAGGGCGCGAGGCAGAACGGAGAGGTCGGAAATAGTAGCACGGAGAGTAAAGAGGCATCAGTCAGCCTCGGCAAACCACCACCTAGGGAAGGAGAGAGGGCGAAAAGAAACAAGGATAGGAAAATGGTCTGCATGGAGGTCATCAAGGACCCGCCACCCAAAATCTAAGGAAAGGGATGAGCACAGAAAGAGGGGGAAGAATAGTCACAGAAGCGACCAGGACGAGCACCAAGCATCGGCTCCTGAAGACGCACAAAGGGGCGAAAACCATGAAATAAGTTGGAAGTCAAGAAAATTTGCATAAAATCCACAGATGTTCCATTGAAGAAGAGACATCAGCAAAGATAGAACACCAGAGCAAAGAAGAAACAAAGGTGAAGTAGGAACACTTCATGCTAAAAAAAAGCACAGTCAGGATCAGGGTCAGCGAAGTCAGGGGGCATGGGTAAACCGAGTAAAGGAGGGAAAAGACGCAGGAGGACAGACCAGAGGTGGACGAGCAGGGTCTGGAGGAGTAGGAAAGGCAGAAGGGGAACGCACCTCAAAAAGGGCAGTAACAGATGGAACCAGGGGCTAAACCCCCACAGTAGGAACAGGGGGCTCCACCACCGAAGCGGGAGAGGAAGGAACGATAGAATCAGAGTGGGGTGAAGAAGAAAGCGAAGCCTTCTTACCGACAGGGGAGGAGGAAGGAGAGGAGCCAGGTTTCCACTTCCGACTCAAAGATACAGGCGTCCCAGTAGCAATGTACTGGGCAACAGACTTCAGTTTCTCTATAGGAGAAGAGCGAGAGCAAACAACCATCAGGAGAGCGATGGACGTCGGCCTGCACAGTCAGGCGGTATGGTGGGCCAAGAGACAGAAGGACGGGAAGGAGGACTAGAGGGAGAGGAAAAAGAACACAGGAGACTTTACAGACTGGGTAGAAAGAAGGGGAGCCCCTAGACAGAACCAGAAGGGGGGGGGGACCCTTCGGGACAGAATGGAGGGAAACAGGGGAGGTGGGCGTGTCCGGGTCTAAGGCTTTGAAATGGTTGCAAGACCAAGGAAGGCAGGAAGGACGAGGAGAGGGAGTGCACACCGAGGGAGTGCGCACCACGCGAGCATAGGAGACACCAGCGAAAGAAGGGAGACTATGAACTTTGCGCCGAGCCTCAGGAAAAGACAAACGGTCCCGGTGCTTCAAGTTGAGGACAGCCGCCTCAAGTTTGTAACCAATACATGCACGAGAGAAGGTAGGGTGGGCTTCACCGCGATCGAGGCAGCGGGCCTGGGAAGAAGGGCACTCCAACAGAGTGACCCTTTCTTCCACACAGGGTACAGGACTAGAGCATTTGAGGGTACCATGCCCAAACCTCCAGCATTTACTGCAGAGCCGAGGAGATGGAATACACTCCTGAATGGAGCATCTGGCACCAGCAAGAATGACAGGGCAGAAGGGTCCTACCATCAAAAGGTAACCTTCACAACCCGAAGGGGCAGACGGCAATGACCATGAGGGGGGGGGGGACGAGTAAATGTATCCACCTGGAGGACAGAATGACCCTGGGCCTCGAGGATATGCTCGATATCCTCGTGGCAGTCCTCGAGTTCCCCAACACCAGTTGCAACTTTGTGCAAGAGGAGAACAGTGCTAACACTTAACCGAGCGTTCTTCTAGACCCAAACAGGGGTTTTGCCAAGGCAGGGTAAAGCGGCCAAGCGGGTGGCCGCATCCTGGGAAGGAGCAGCAACGACACGGGTACAAAGACGAGTGGGGTTGAAGGCGACAGGCATCCACGGAATTGACAAGATGACTATGAAGGGAAAAATCGTCAGGAGGAGTCGAATCCAGAAGGTTGGAGGTCAAAGTACTTAGTCCATGTAGCAGGACCAAACAAAGCATGGAACGAAGTATGATGGGAAGGGAGCATACGAGAGCAGCCGTGGCGGGGACGGCGATGAGAACCCTTAGAGATGGGTTGAAAGGTGCATTAGTCACAACAGATGGAGCCGTGCAAGGGGACGAGACTCACCACAGTAGGCTTGGGGCTCGACCCAACCACAGAGGGAGGGGAGCAGGAAGGAAGGCCAGTCTGGGCCTAAACCAGGTCCTGTAGCCCCCCACTACAGATCCCAGTCTTCCAGGACAGTCCAACTCAGGGGCCTAGCCACCCACTCCATGAGCCTGGGCAACAGAAGTCAAGTCGTCATCCATACAGCAAACCAATATACAAGGGATGGGACCCGGAACCAAGGGATACCACCTACCAGGGCAGCCAGGGAGGCCGAGCACGGGCCAGTGCAGGAAGGGCGTGTCGTCCCCAGCAGTGCTCCCCTTTTCAACAGGAGAGTCCTACTACTTCATTCTCCCACACTGGTGCCAAGACCCAGTCCCCCTATTGCCCCAGCCTGGACACCCAACCATCCACACAGGGCAGCCTCTCACAGGCGACCCCTCCAGCAGGTGGTTCGATGGCTCACAAGGTCCCTACATGGTGCCCATCAGCATGTACACCACCCAATGAGGGGGCACAGGCAACCCACACCGGTCCCAGGGAGGTGTACGCGAGGCCCTCACCACGGCAAGGAGGCACCACGGAGGGGTATAGGTTCACAAGTAGTTGCATGTTGAACCCTGGCCTTTGTTTTGCCAACACGACCGCTAACCAAGCCAAGGGTCTGAGCCTAAGCTTTACACCGATTACCACGTAGTTCCAGCTCGTCCTAAAATTATTTCCCAACGTAAAGAAACTTATAATGACGTGCCCTCTAACCTAACCAAGGAAAAACTATACTAAACTTTGCGAGCTGCTACCAATTTTCTAGCTATTTTTGGCCTTTGGTACCATGTCTAAATGTGACGTTCTATTAAAACTGGTTGGTATATCAAACTTGCTTTTGTTAACATTTACTACTGTAAGTGGAAGGTTCACGATCCTAGTAGCTAGTATTAGAAAGTTTTACAAGTCGCTTTAGCAAGAAGCCGTAAGAACAGGAAGGCTATTTAGCCCGTTACTAGCATTTGAAATAAATTTTAATGCAGTACAGAAATTAGTTTTATTCTTTACTACCTTTATGACTAATCTTAAATTTGTGGTACATTTACACAAATCGTCCTAAAGATTTATTGGATCAAAGTACCGAAATGTGCACCACTAGTCTCCGTGGTGTAGAGGCAAGACACTCGCCTGGCGTTCTGCAAGCGCTTTGTCATTGGTTCGTATCCTGGCCGGGGAGGATTTACATGGGCGCAAATTTTACTGTAGCCTCTAGTTTAACTTTACAGTAAAATGGGTACTTTGTTGTGAAAAAGTTTATGCGGCGGGGATCATTCCAGGGACCCACCGAAACGCTATGCGTACTAGTGGCTGTACAAGAATGTAACAACTCTTGTATGAAAAAAATGCGTTTGACAGGAAAACCTATCTATAGGTTCACTTTAAATTTCGTTAGTTTAGTATCTGTCCGAAACTATGGATCTAGTAAGTAATTACAAGGCTTAAATATGGTGTACATTGTGAACTATTTTATACAAGAGCTCTACAGGAAATTTGGCCATCACAATACCTAGAGTAGTCAATTTAGTACACCCAAGTTACATTACAAGTACTACCACTTTCATAGAAAAAAAATTGTACAAGTACGTGTACACTAGACAGGCGACTATGGGACCAAAAGGAGACTAGCAACCATGCCCTCTCCTTATAGCACATGTCCAAGGCCACATTCCCGAATGCTCAACATCGAGTTGTTAAAGCTGAAGGAAATATTACCACGTCCCCCTCCCCCCCTTCACAATTTTTTTTTTTACAACGCACCAAACGATACTAAAGCTTATCACGTCTGTTCTGGAAGTCATCAGCCGTCTCACACTGACGCAGTAAAACTTTAAGTGTTCATTTTACATCGGTATGTACGAGTGAACTTTTGCTTCGAGATGCCAACAAATAGAAGCAACGAGAACTATCACCAGTACAAGCTAATGTTTAGCATTATATTTGTGTTATATAACAAAACCAACTCTTAGATGCAGTATCTTGCAAAGGCAAGTAAACTAAATTTTAATCACGAGGTTTACTTTTCATAGCTAGGATATGAATACTAGCCGAACAGCCAAGCAGTTTAGTAAGCATTTATTAACCAAGGATATCAAATATCCAAGTAAAACATTAAGAAGTTAACCCATTATCGCAATATAAACTTTGTCCAAATTTGTGAAAACTATAATTTCCTTAAATATGTAGTCCCACTACCAAGTGGTTTAATATGCAGTCTTTAGTGACCTTTACCACAATCCCACAGGATATACAAGTCCTTGACTTTTCTAACCTACCCAACGTCACTTAGGAATAGAAGAGTACAGCGACCTCATCCCTCACCAAGGGGAGAGGTGGCGAGATTGTCCCACCGACCTTTGGACAATCTGACGGACTATAGTATATTCAATTATCAGATCTGGCGAACCTATTTAGTTCAGTAGGCATTAATATTCAAGACTGCGCCACGAGGTATAGTAAACGCGTATTTGGGTTTTATGTTTAACCCTTTAATATGGCATCTGATTTTTAGTGCTTTTGAAAGTACTGTACTTTCATTTTATTAGCAAAGCAGCTGTGGTTAGGAAGCTGAAAAGTTAAAAAAAAAACTATCAATTTTTAGTCAATACCTGGCCTTCCGAGGGCAAGGCTCATTTAACAGAGTTAAGTGGGACTAGAATGATTTGCCCAATCATTAACATTGGGATTAGAAAACCAATGCATTTGTAAATAAGTCATACCTTTAACCTACTGCCGATGCAAACCTTGCGTTATTTTTTTATCTGAGTCAGATAAACATATCCACTACTCATTCGGTAATAATTAGGCAAGACTTGCCATACAAGTGTTATATCAGAACATAACATTCACCAGCGTCTATTTTCTCTAACATATACAGTATATAAAAAATACCTTACGTTTATACCCACTAAATATTTCTCAACAAACTAGCCACTGACAAACGCTGGCGTCGAATATAATCAAATATGCTGGAAGTGGGTGTGGGTGTGTCTCTCTCGGCGCTGGTCAGTGAAGTGAGAGGCGAAGGCCCAGTGGACCCTCAGGTCACCTGGGCTCCCGGCCTGCACCAATCAGCGTGACCTGGGCTCCCGGCCTCCACCAATCAGCACCGTCCGTTCCATAGTCGCTCCGTATGGTGAAGATTTCCTATGGAAGATCAGAATAACGTTTGTGATTACATTACTTTTACTTCAAAACTTTAGGATCCTTTTAGTTTAATTATTGTATTAAGGACTCCGTTGCCCATTCAGCAGTCCGTCCTCAGGCAAAACACTAGTTAGTCCTGCCGCCAAACCTTATTTACGAATGAAACATAATTTACACACGACTCACAACTGATGACGTTTAAATTGGTATGTTTGAAGTGCTAATGTGTGAGTAAGTTTGAATACAATGATAAGTCTATTAGTGTTAGTTTGTGTCTCTTAGACGACATAATCTCTGAGAATCTGCGAATCACTTATCGCTCTAATAAGCAGTTGACAAATGTTGAAGATTAAATCATTAGGCTACTGTATCATAAGGTATGTTGGTAATTAGATTTTGGTCATATCGGACTGGGTAGTTTACGGAGGCCAGTTCATTTTTGTGTGTTTATTTTTTGTACTGTAACTTCGCCGTTTCTATTCAATAACATTATCTGAAACTGACATTAACCGTCTATAGTTACAAACTGGAAAGGCTTCCAAGGTTCATTACAGACCGTGCAGTTGAAAGGGTCAATCTTCCTGTCTATATAACATATTCAAAATGTTTAAAACGTCTTTCATTTCATTAATTAGTTCTACACCACAACTGCTTGCAGGGTCTGTCTTAAGTATTCACAGTCGTGTAATATCAGTCTAATGCAGTCTCAATATTCAATAAACAAGCTGACACCACTTCCTACAGTGGCTCAGTGCTAACTCGTGCCTGCCGAGCGATTTGCCTAGGTTCAAGTCCTGGCTGGGGACGATTCGCAAGCCGCCAATCCTTAACTCTTCGCCGCTGTTCGCTCAGCAGTAATTTGTTATCCGATTGGTGGGTTGTGTTGCAGGGAAAACTATAGTGAGGAAGGGTCACAATGAGTTACGGAAGGGAGGGCTCTCAGCCTGTCTGCAGCATTCATGGCTCTTCTGCTCCTCTGCTCACCTATGTACAAAATATGAAGGTGCGGACGTTCATTCACTTATTTTATTTATTTCAAAATTATATACCTTCCTTGACAAGCTGTGTGCTGTGGGCTGACACGCATTGCCGGCTGTGGACACGACACGCATTGTGGGCTGTGGCCTCGAAATACATACATAAATAAATGTGTAATTAGGTGTAAAAATACATACATATAGGATGAGTTACAAACATAATGTTGGATTTTTAGTTAGAGGGAGAGGATGGTATACTATCAGGAGAAAGCACCAAGCCATTAGTACTATATAGCACCCTAAGGATCAGGACCTAGATTCAGGAAGCTCTGTGTATTTCTTCGTAAGTGGGTTTGCTACGAAGGTTCCTAAGTGCGCCCTAAGAAGATGCTTAGGTGCGATTCAATAAGGTATACTTAGGAAGAAAATTGTTGGTTCACCTGCGTGCCGATAGAGGTCACTACTGTGTTTCGTTTGGCCAATCAGAGAGCTTTAACATTCTTCATATTGAAGATTTAGCGCTGGCTTATAGGAGCTCTACTGCCTCCTATTTACGTCGAATTTTCTTATAAAATTAGTATATTTCGAAGTAAAACAATGTTTTTTCAACTTCTACAGCCAGCACCGACATTGTAGTAAACAAATATGTTACATTTGTTGTTTACCTACGTAATTCTAAGATACTGTGTAACTGTCCTTGTTGCTCGGAAGATGCGCTGACAATTATTGTATATATTTACTGAATTTACCCAATGGCCACTAACTATCTAGTGACCTCGAAGAGGACAGAAAGCCGACGGCTTGTTAAAGGGCCCGCCAATTGAATTAATGTTATTTTTTAGCTGGAATTTGGCATTTACGGCTTCAGCGGGTAGGCGGTTCCATGGGTTTATAGCCCTCTTGGTGGAAAAAAAAACATCTGTTTTCAGTCCTACTTGAGAGAACATACTCTCCAACACTATATCTGTGATTGTCCTGTTATCAGTGACTTCATACCAAATGGTATGAGGTACTTTGAGCTCTGTAATTACTTCATACACTCAGGAATATTGGAAGATATTCTTGTGCTGCACCCAGATTTTGCCAGTGGAGGCTAATAGATCAGCATTAAGTATTTTGTTCTCTTCTAATTCCATGTATGACTGGCCATCCTGTGAGGTGAGGATGTTGGGTGAGCTTGTAGCTGGTTTTTGATCTACACTGTGTGGTCCTTTATACAGAATAGGGAAGCAGCACACTGCTGTGTATACCTAAACATGTTTAAAAATACATTGTTTGAGAGGAGTTTTGTAGAAACTGGTAAGAGTAATTATAATATAATGTTTCCATGATTCAGTGCTTACCTCTTGTGAAAATTGCTTAGAGTTGTTTAGTCAGAGTTGATTTGTTTTTTGTATTGAGGCTGGTATTTTCTAAATTGATTCCATGTACAGTATGTCTAACCATCCTGTGAGATGGGAGTATTAGATAAACTTATAGCTAGTTTTTTATCTACACTGTGTAATATTCCATATAGAATAGGGTAGCAGCACATTGCTGTGTATACCTAATCTTCTTAATAAAAAAAATCAGTAATAAAGATTTTAAATTATAGTTTGTATTATTACAAATACAGTACTGTATTATCCTTATTAAATCATGTTGACCATGGATCATTAAGATCTCATGTTGATATGTAATACAAGTCATATTTCTTTTGAACTGCTAATCCATGCTAATCATTCATTAAATTGTGCATTATGTCTTAATTTTTCACTTCCTTGGATATACTGTACAGTACAAAAAGATAGGATAAAAATAAACCAGTAATATTTCTTTCATTATATTTTTCATTTAAATAACTGCATCAATATTTTTACAGCTGACAGGATTTGTTTTCCCATACAGGTGCATTATTTGTTAAAAAAAATTTGGTTTATTGTTACACACAATGGTGCTACATAGCCTTCCCAGCTTGGTGCCTTCTTTTAATACTTACTGATTAAAAAATAAATAATAAATACATTTTATTCAGGAAAAGTACATACAGTTGATTTACAAACATAATGTTGGATTTATAGGCAGAGCTAGTACATACAATACCTAAAGCCACTAATACTCATAGCATTTCGGGCAAGGTGTGGGGGGAAAAAAACACAGACTAAAACTTAATAGCAATCGAGATTAGGTATAAATTGTGTTGAAAGAAGGAATAAAAAATACAAAAAGGGGGTTAACATAGCATAAATCAGCAATTGCACATGTTGGTGAACAGCGTTGTTTAAAAAATAGCAAGACATGGGTTGACATTTAGGAGGTAAGTTAGGTTACATGGAGTTAATTAGGCAGTACTTGGTTTAACTCTTAAACTGGTTGAGAGAAGTACAGCCTTTGACATGATTCGGGAGGTCATTCCACATTCTGGGTCCCTTGATTTGTAGAGCACTTCTAGTTTGGTTACACACAGCCAAATTGAGTAACAGGAAGAGGTCTTGGACACAAATTTGTTCCATGCTAAATGTAGAGGAATCAGCTGAGTATTCCTCAAATAAAATAAGTTGCCTCAGCTTATAAGGTAAATAAAATAAGCATTTCTCAAATAAGTAGCTGCCTCACCTCACTGCCTTACTGCTACATAGCCTTCCCGGCATGGTGCCTTCTTTTGATAATTACTTGTTCCACACCCGAATTGTATAACAGGAAGAGGTCTTGGACCCCTACTTCCCTCTCTCTTTTTTAGTAGTCTATATAGTCATAATTATAGCTTTAAGTATTCAATGAATAAAGTTTTTGACATTTTTACCCTTTTCCTTACCTAACATCATTTGTGCAGCATATTTTTATTTTATGTCTCACCCAAATTTAATTTCAAAATAAAACCAAACTAAATAAATTAGAAATGGGTATGTATAGCTAAGGTACACCCTTACTACTAGGTGAACAGGGGCATTTGGTGATAGTAAATGATCCCATCAGGCAGGGCTCATCACCTTCTCTCATATTTCATGTTCACCAGTGTTTATTTACTTAATAACTACTGGTATAATATCTTGCTATTATAAAACTAATTCTACTATCATCAAACACATATTTACTTCAAGTTTCAAGCAGAGAATGCATATATAACTAACACGAAGGATTACTCTTCACTAGATTCAGCAGCTATAATATTTTGGTCATGTTCCAATATCATAAATCGATCCCAGTGTTATGTAGTAGAGAAAAAATGACTTATATCCAGTTTACGTAAAGCTACGAGTGGTTGAAACCACACTTAAATCCCGGAATGAACTTACGAAGATTTTTCCACTTAGGGTAGTCAATTGAATACGGACGTAGCCGCCACGAAGGCGCTAAGACGGAAAACGCTCTTAGCTAAGAGGAAAAACCTTCGTAAGTACCTTCCTGAATCCGGCCCCAGGATCATATCCTGATGCTTAGGGGTCAGGATAAGAACCAAAATAATTTAGTGACAGAAACACCAAATACTTTTAGTGCGCAGTATAAAGTGAATTTAAATCAAGGAAAAGCTATTTGGCGATTATGACTTTACAAAATCGGAATATATACGGAAAGCACTACACGTGGGCTGACCATGTCTCTGCAGGAAATGACTCTCCTGACCATCCTTCCGAAATTATCAAGGTCAGAAGGACACAGTAATCTCGTGGCAAGAGCAAGGAAAATTGCTGAAGATGACAGGAACAATGAACCAGAGGATAACCCCACTCACTATGAGCTACCTTGGAAAATTGTAGGAAACGGAAAGACAAATAAACGAAAAAGAACTAAAAAACGCCCGAAGAATTCAATTTAGAAGCCAGCCAGAACCCAAGAGCAGCCCCCAAACGAGTGGCAAGGACCATCTTGCCATTGGTTTGGGAAGATGGTCCTTTCCA